ACTGATATTCTTCCAGTAACTTAGAAGTCTGTTTCATTTTTGACTCTCTCACTTTTTGTATCATTAACAAATTTGCCGATCTTGTAAAAATTTGACTGTCTGACATTTTTCTGCTATTAACTTGTTTAAATGGTTGTTAAATCAATTATTCATATCACTTAACAACTGCTCCATGATGGTTACTTTCTTTAAAGAAGAAAACACTATTTTAAGAGATAAAAGTAAAATTAAAATGTTGCATAAGATTAACTATTAGTCAAATTTAAAATTTGATACTAAATTCAATACACATGCAAAACTCATATGAGTGCTGATTGGCTAGTGTATGATCACCCCTCAACATATTATTACACTTTGTCCGACTAGGGCAACGGTTCCCAACCTTTTTCAGGTGGCGATCCCTTTTTATAAAAGCCAAGTGTCCCGCGACCCCGATACAATTGAAAAAGGCATTTTTAATAAGGTAATTAAAAAAAACAACGAAATTAGTTTTTTTTACTATAATTTTATTTTAAATTGTTTAATAATTTAATGCGATGGTTGAAATTGCATGTTATTAACCAGTTTCAAAATTCATGGGCGAGTTTTTGTTAACGCCAATCTCATGTCATTCTCAACATTTAATTTATTCCTCTCAACACATGTTTCAACCAACTGTGACAGAATGGTGTACCTAGATTACACTTATTTTAATTTTAAAAAAATATATGAAATTTTTCAAACTTCAAGACACCATTAAAAATAAAAATTGCATTATAGTGAATATTTTTTTTAGTTTACTGTATAAGTTGGCAACCCCACAGAAAGCCCGTCACGACCCAGAAGGGGGTCGCGACGGGCTTTCTGTGGACTAGGGGATAGCAGTATTCATAATGACCAGTCAATTTGATAAATTATGTTAAAACATCTGAAATTTATTACAATGCCTGATTTTGTTTATCATTATTTCTAATGTCTGTATTAATCACTTAGTCCATAACATATATACAGAACACAGATTTTCAGTTAAGCTGGCCCAATGCCAGCTGGATGGCAACCCTAAAGTCATCTCTCCTAAAATGAGGACAGTTACTACTGACCAAGTGCACTCTCTCATTGCTCTGACTACAAGAAAGAAAAGTCTGCCATGTCAAAAATCACATTGTGTATGGGGTGTCACATACTCTCTGCTTTGCAATATGAGTTTTCAATAAACTAATATGTAATTGTTAATATCATAATTTCAAAAATTTTTAATCTTCAATTGAAACAAATAATTCATTTTCTTATAAAATGTGGAAGAATTAGATATAATGATGAGATTGCTCATTTCTAATTATCAGAAAATTCCAGATTTTTCCAATTCTGATTAATCATCCCATCACTAGTTGAAACATTTGTTTTAATAAAGTGAAGTGTTATTGGAAAAAGTGTTAAAAAGTGTCATTTACTCTAAACTAGGTCCAGCTCTGTGATAGAAGTATATTTTTAATTGCTGAAATACTTTAGTTATAAATAAGAATTGTAATGTTTTGAAGAGAAAATTAATTTTTGATAAATTTGACAACAATGAAATTGTTGTCAAATTTATGAAACGGCGGAAAGATAGACAGAAGCAAGGTTTTTTTACCTTTGTGAATATGTCGTTTTGTATTTATACAATTTTTTAAAAATGTAATTAACGCCGGCCATAGTTTATTTTACTATTTTTACTTAAAATGTGATATTGTGAAAAATGGCTAATAAACACCAGAGGACGCTTTACTTATATTTACATTTTTTGCCGAAACAGTAGCCTAAAAAGGAAAGTCGTCTTGGAAACTTTTGAATTGTTTTTAAGGATTGCTGATGGTGTAGAAACGGCGGAAAGATAGACAGAAGCAAGGTTTTTTACCTTTGTGAATATGTCGTTTTGTATTTATACAATTTAAAAAAAAAAAAAGAAATTATGTTGTTTTTAAAAATTACAAGAATACATTTCAAATTTAATTTAGTTAGATTTGATATGCCATGTAAATAAAGAACTTAAAATATTAACAATAAATGTAACTTAGCATTTTGAATACAATAAATATTCCAAATTACATAGCATTATATGTTACTTTTTAATAATGACAATTTTTATATTACAGAATTAATTAGGAATGAAATAGAAACTAACTACTAAATTACTTGGCTTAGAAGTGGCTAGTTTGGTATCTTTAGAAATTTTAATGAGTAGAATTTCATTTTTATTTACTTGGTTGTTATATATAACATAGGAAAAATATGGTGATCAGTCAGAAAATGGCCTCTCCCAATATTTTTACATTTTTGCACTTGTGGGACCTTGAAACGTTGAAAAATGCAATAAAATTCAGGGGGTTTTCTGTCTATATGTATGTATGGATGTATGTGGAGGAGTGTGTGATTTTGTTCACGTACTTTGAAACTTAATAACTTTTGTGCTTTGGCTGAAAATTTCTGAAATTTTGTAGGGAGGTTTGTGTATTAGACAGATTGATGCTATTAAATTTTGGTGGTTAAAGATTCAATGGATGGGGAGATAGAAAGTGGGTCATATGTGATACTCTGAATTTTAATAAAAATCAATTGTTGATGTCGTCATACTTGCTCAACAATTTTTGTCCTCGGATACCTGAGAAAATCTCCCCTTACACTTTCTCGACAGCAAAAATGATGCATTCACATGATCTGATGACCTCTTAGCCAGGCGATGTCACAATGATATCAGATTTGACAGCCAAAAAGTCAGTCGTTGCCTGTATCTCATGGATTAAAGTCTCCAACACATTCTCTGTGCCTATGTCAAATTTTCCTCATTCTGATTTCATCATCGACCAATGGTGCCAGTGAGGATGAACTTTTTCTGACTATTGTGACCCAGACTTTCCCAATCGGAACTTTCCGCAAACCTTCTACAATGATAATGTACTGCTAGTCTCAATGAAAATTGTAACAAATCTATCATCACCTCATGTACATCACCGACTTCAGGTATATATCAACTCACAAACCACTGTAAACTCTCTCTCTAGTATTGCGAAGTTAGGCCTATCTAAACCAATTTAGTATTAAATTGATTTTAAGATACTTGATTTAGAATCGAAATTGTATAGAATGTATTTCCTGTCTTTTACAAAAAAATGGTTGTTTTGTTAACCTAGTCTACATGAGTCACTTCCATCTCTTACTCCATCCCGCACACGTGGCCGCTCGCATGACTGAATCAACATGCCATCTCGGCTTCCATGTCAATCAGGACACGGTGGTGTCAGTTCTGACAGGGCATCGAAGAGGTGCCAACTCTTGGTCACACATATGTCCTGTCTTGAGTAGAGACGAAATGAATATTTTACTCTTCTCAATGTCAAATGTGGTAGCTGTTATATACGTAATTTGAATGATTGTCTCTTTAATCCAAATAAATAAATAAATCCAGTAGACTTCCTCACAGCTATCAGGTTAGGTACTCCTTTATTTCAATTTACAAATGCATTTCGGACCTATGCAGTATCTAAGCCCCTCCTCAGTGTAATGCTACAGATATTAAAAGGAACAAAAACTGCATAGGTCTGAAATGCATTTGTAAATTGAAATAAAGGAGTACCTAACCTGATAGCTGTGAGGAAGTCTACCGGATTTATTTATTTATTCAGATTAAAGAGACAATCATTCAAAATATTTTACTCATTTTTAGTATTAAATTTTTTATAAAACTCACCTCTACTCTATTTAAGGTGTTTTCCACCATTTCATGTGGGTGTAAAATAATATTTTTTTAAATATATTTTTGTTTATGCAATGCTTGATATGCATGCGCATAATGAATTTTATATGCAAAGTTGGATATGTTCTAAAACTTTTAAATCTTTAAGCACAACGGCTTTTCGAATCTCAGAACTTTTAACAGTTACTTTATGTTATAATATTGAATATAAATTCACAACATATATAAGCTTTTGAAGCTTATATATGTTGAGTTTTTCAGATTAATTAATTAAAAAAAAATTTCAATGTTCAAACAGACAATGTATCAGGTCAGTCCATAAGTTTGTGCGCATTTTTATCTACAAAAAAAGCAACAAAAAATTTTAATTAAATTTTATTTCAATCTATAATGTATTCACTATTATTTTGTACAATTTCTTGCCATCTTGATAGTAGCTTTTTAATCCCGTCTTTGTAAAATGATTTCGGTTTTGAATCAAAATATTCAGAAATAGCCTTTTTTACATTCTCATCCTCAAAAGTTTTTCCTTTTAAAAAATTCTGCAAACTCCGAAAAAGATGATAATCACTGGGAGCAATATCAGGCAAATATGGTGGACGAGGTAAAATTTCCCAGTTGAAGCTTTGGAGTTGAGCAGTTGACGTTGTTGTCAGTTAGCTATTGACAGTTCATGTGGTATCCATTTTCCTAGCTTTGAAACTTTTCCGATTTGTTGTAGATGTCTATGAACAGTTCCATGGGATGAATTTAAACGTTCCGCAATTTCATCAACTGTTAAAGATGGTTCTGCTTCAAGAGTGTGCTTCACTAGTGCAGAGAGAGCATCATCATCAAAGTCAACAGGTCTTCCAGTACGAGCCTTATCCTCCACACTAAAATCATTAATTCTAAATCTTTCAAACCGCTTCTGCACAGTCCTTACACTAATTACAGTTTGATTATGAACAGTATTTAATTTTTTGGCTGCATTTGTAGCATTCTCATCATTTAAAAATAAAAAGTATAAAACACGTCTCTTATATTCATCTGTTACTTCCATTTTAACGAAAATAAACAACTGAAATGTTCCCAATTCTGAACAGTATTATATGAATGAGATCCAATTTAACACTTCAGTGTAAAGAGTATCACATTAGACTGGCATTTTTAACAGCAAAACAAGATCATAAAATAGGCATGAACTTATGGACTGACCTAATATTATTAATATATTTGTTGAGATTAATTTGTTATTTTTGCTGAATTTATATAAGCCATATATTATTTATCATTAAATTTTGTTTTACAGGTTGTAGCACCAGTACAAAAAGATCCTGTTCCAGAAGAAAGATATTTAAAATCTCTTGGATTCACTGATAATCCTAGATTATTTCCCACAAATGTTTGGAATAATGTCTCTCTTCCAGTGTTTGTGACAGCAGTAGCTTCCGGTGATAGTGAACTTACAATTGAATTTATTAAGTCACATCAGCACTGTTTTCCTAATCATGTATTATTAATTTATGACATTGGCCTAGATACAGAAGAATTTTTACTGGTAATAGACTTTTATAATTCTTTAATAACATGCAGTTTTTATTGGTTAATTTTTTATTTATGAACAAATATGCAATGTAATGAAGTTTTGCATTCTTTCCCTGAAATACATATGCTGTTTGTTAGACTTTATGCATTTAACACTGATTTTAGAGTACAGTGGGTGATCGGATAACAAACACTTTTACGAAAGATTTTTATGTTCAGACAACAAACACGTGATTGGATAATGAACACCTCACAGAACAAACACAAGAAGAAACGACGTAAAATAATGAATACCAATCAGTCTTCCCTTGTCTTCAGACGACAATTTGAAACTTTTTGGAACGCAGAAGACGTTGACATTGACACTCAACCTGGTATATACTGATCGGATAGTAGTCCTCCAAACTTTGAAACTCTCCCTTGTAATTCCAGCCTTTTATTTTTCTGACAGAAACAATTCTTTTATAGTACTCGCGAGACTGTCAGGCGGGCACTCGTTAAGTTTTGCATCGGTTTTTATTTTTTAAAGGTGAGAGTATAATATCACAGATAGAGAGTTGGCAGATGTCTGATGTCTGTTGTTGCTGGACAGTATGGCTTGAACAGGTCTACAGAAGGCCGCAGTTCAATCTTATCTAAGAAAGATACTGTATTATCAAGAAGACTCAAGCAGTTAAGGAGTAACAAAAATCACATATGAGAAATAAAGAACATTGAAGAGCTCATAATGGAACCTGAAACTGATCTGACAACAGAAGAACACCAAGAAACTCAGCAAGATATGTTTTCTTCTGAAAAAGAGAAATTAATGTTGATATCTGCTATTAAACGTTTTTTTGAAGTGGGATGATGTCAGAATGACAGTCTTAGAATGGCATCCAAACCAGGTTGAGGATATTAGGCTTAGGAATATCTACAATTACAATGCTATTAATTACTTCTGAAAAATCTTGAAGAAGAGAGAAAAGCAATCGACATCGGCCAGATTCTTTAACCCCCAAAAACGGAAAAAACTTGACTAATAAAAATGCAAGACTGCATATATATGTATTTTTACTATTACATATAAATAAACATAATAAATAAAAAATATAAAAATAAAATATCCAAAAAATAAAAAAGTATATATATTTTATTTTTTGGAGTCTCCAGAACGAATTAATCAAATTCCCATAAAAATCTATGGTAAATCGATAATCGGTTAACAAACAATTCGGATAACGAACAAAGTCTTGGAATGGATTATGTTTGTTAACTGATCACTCACTGTACTAGGATATTATTTACAGTGGATTAGATTGTAATAATGACTTTGTGTGTCCATAAATGGTATATGATTGTTGATAGTTGATATATGTTGATTGTTGTGATATAAGTTATGAGTGAAATATATTGTGTGACAAGTTATTACAAACAGAAGACATGCTGGAAGCATTTGTTATTATATATATGACAGTTTTTTACTACTAAAATTAAAAAGGAAATATTATTTATAAATACAAAAATAATTAGGATAACTATTTTATATATCAAACTTATATTAGTATTCTCATTTTATATCAATTTTTATGAAAAATACATAAAAAACACAAAAAATATTATGAAGTATTTTTCCTAGGAATTTTTTTAATTACTGTTCTATTATTTAACACTAGAATATTATTTGACCACTTTTGATTTTTGGATGTTTTTGGTATTATCATTTTGCAATGTTGTGATTTTTAATCATTTTAGGGAAAGTTTATTTTTGACTATTCTAGTTTTTTCTAGAATGAAGTTTCTAAGATAATAAAGTAGAGTCCCGAAAACTCAAGTTTGTGAAAATGCCGGGTTATCGGGAATGGGGTTAAAAAAGAATAAGTACGAGTGTTTTCTCAAAAAATACTGTACTGTACTTGTATGTATTGTTTGCTTGACAATACAACAGAGAATAAACTGCCCAAATACTCTTAAACAAAGAAAATGTACATACTTTATGAAGGCATAGAGCCTTTACTATATGAAAATGAAAATTAATGGATACACAGTGTACAGTAATTTACCTGATAAGACAGATCTCAGAAAAATACTTTGAGGCATAGAGTTGTCTATAATGAAAATTAACTAGGGGTTTTTTTCACCCTGCCAGGGTGTGTCCGAGTTATCCGGACTGCCGAGATATTGAGTGCAGAGTTTTCGGGACTCTACTGTACTGATTTTTTGCCAGTGGCATGGAAACTGCACACAGAAATGTGAGTAATGTTTGTCTATGAACATCATGAACTCCCAGGAACATTGAGATCATGTCTGAATTGGAGAATGAGACAAGCTTCAGGCATCACACCATTATTCGTGATGATTTGAACATGAAAAAGGTGTGTGCACATTGGATTTCATGGGACAGAAGGGCAAAAGGGTGGAAGACTATCATTGCCTGCTAAAAATGTACAATGAAGATCCAGATTTTTTTGAGAAGCCAGTAACTTGTAAATGAGTCTTGGTGTCACTATCACATACCAGAGAAGGAATTCTAATCCATACAATGGAAACACCCAGGAAGTTCTCAGCCTAAGAAATTTCATGTTGTTCCCTGTCTTATGGGACAGTTCGGGAATGCTACTAATGAACTGGCTTTGGCAAAAAATGACTGTCAGAAACAAGGTGCACTGTGAGATCCTTTTACAGCTTAGATACAGGATCCAGCAACACCAAAAGAAGTGGTTTCAAGGTTCAATTTTGCTTCAACACGACAATGCTGAAGCAAAAGTGCAGCCCCAGCAACACTGACTGACAAGTTGTCATTGCTGGGGTTTGCTGTTGTGCCACACTCACCACATTCACCAGATCTCACTCCATCTGATTATGCTTTATTCAACAACATGAAGGACTTGCTGCAAGAAATTCACTAATAATGAAACTTCAGGCAACTGTTCATGAGTGATGTCTTAGTACTGCTCAAAGAATGCTTCTATAATGCCATTACGAAGTTACCAGAGATAGCAATGGTGCATTTATGTTGATGAAGAGTATATTGAGTGATCCCCTGTGTGTTGAATCATGTTATATAATAAATATGGTATAAAAAAAAGACCATTATTATAAATCATTGCCAAATGCTCATATATTCATACATTGTTATGGGCTGCATCCATGTGTTGCTTTAATGTCTGCGTTTCAGAAATTGGCTTAGCATACACAATAATTTTCAGGTCCCCCACAAGAAAAAAATCAAGGGATGTGATTCAGTGACTAGATAGGCTAAGCAACAGGCCAAGAGAAAATGTCCAGATACTGAAAAATGGGAATTGGACCATCTGTCTTGGCACTAGTGAATTTTATTATATGTTAATTAGTGATGTAATGAATATTTGGTTACTATTTGGTATTCAGCCTATTTTTCACTATTCGGCCGAATACCGAATATTTAATCACTATTCGGCTAAATACCGAATACCTAAAAACAGGAGTAATAAATAACAAAAACACAGTAAATTAATGATTTTGGTATTTAGATTTAATGTTGTTGGGTGAATGTTGTTTGTTTATATTTATTTATAACTTGTAACATGCACAAAATAAAAAAGAAAATAATATTAGTCACATATATTCACAATTTATAATTACAAAGATCAGCACACGTACACACCTATCGTTGGAGAATCCTTGCACATCTGAGGGTCTGACCCTGCCTATCCTTCTTTTTAAGCGCTCGTCTTTGCTCTTCCCTTTCTCTTTCCTCTATCGCTCTAATCCATGTATGCCTGTGCATACATCATAATACGCGCTCACGATACTTTCGATTCGTCACTTTTCCGTCGTAGAGTTCCCATTTTACAATTACGTGACTCAGCCTGGTGATAACGGAGAAAAGAGACAGATAGGACGTCGATATAAGTCACAGTTATGATTTCACAGATTCGAGACAGCTTGATAGCCCGAACGGCCCCAGGCTTTCGCCCGTGCACGCTAAGTGACTTTCATTACAAGCATTTAGCTTTCCGAAGTCTATGACAACAATTGTTTGGCATTGACGGCCGCGAATTTCGTGCCAATAAGCTGCCTCGACTTGTTCGATTATGTTATCAACTCAATTTCATATTTATTTTCACATTTTCACTTCACGGTCCTTCTCTGTTCTTTTTCCGTTATTTACACGTGTAGGTCATTTCATTTTTATTCATATTTGATATCATTTATCACATACTTCCATGACACTCTTGTCTGTCCGCTACAACTGCCAAGAATTAATGCGATTGGCGAAGCGTAGTGATAGCAGGCCAGTAGAGGGCAGGGTCCTTACCATAATGCAGTTTGTGCAGCAATTTTCGTACGTGCGTTAATCAAACCGAATATTCGGCCTCAGGCCGAATATATTATTCGTTGCAACACTAATCTTAATAAGATTATTTGTAATAAAAATTTTTTTTTTTCAATGGGGTTGGTTGTTCTGTATATACAATTAAAATACTATGGTGTTAAAGTTCTCAACAAGGAATTTTAAAAAAAATATAAAAATTTCACAAATATACAAAAAGCTTTGTTTTTGTTTTTCTTTTTCATTGTTTCAACACACCAGTGACAGTCCAAAACAAAACTTGTGTCTGTATGTGAAAATTGTTTTCGACTGTCACTGGTATGTTGAAACAGTGGAAAAGAAAAATGAAAACAGTTTTTTTGTATATTTGTGAAATTTTTATTTAGATTAAAACTTTAAATACAATGTCAAGGTGCATTTGCCTCAAAATATGTTTAACTAGAAAATACAACCACTTCAGGATGGCTGTTTTTATATCACATCCTTCACTTCCTGTATTCAAATATGTAAATAACATTAATTTGAATAAAGGAATAGCATTGGATGCATGATGTGATAAGGTAGTGTGATATAAAATGCCACCTTGAAGTGATTGTAGTATTTTCCACTGAAGCAGCCTTGACATATTTTGAGACGAAATGCATCTGAAAATTGTATTTTAAAGTTTTAATCTAAATAAAAATTCCTTATTGGAAATTTTAACATAGTATTTTAATCCTTGAAAGTTGGTATTGATTGGGTATTTTAACTCAAGATTTTTCCTGTAAAAAATT